ATCTCTTTTGAATATAAATTAAATACTGTACTTAATTGATTTATTATTGCCCACTTGAATTGTATAGCCCTAGGTGCTGCAGCTGTCTCTTATACACATCTCGATGTATTTCAGCAAGTATTAAAACATTTTAGTTTTATTTTAGGTCTTCTTCAAAATACCTATGCCTACAGCAGATGATTTTTTTGCCGTAAAACCAAAATAGTTTCATCCATGCCGACATTCCGGTCGGTTAGCGTGAGCCCTGACTGAACCCTGCAGAAACTTCACATCGATCTTCGCATCGCGATGTAAAACAAAATGTCGGAAAACTTTTCTTTGACGCATGCGCATTTGCATAAATGTCTACACACACACACACACACTCACACGCTACACACAATAAAAAAACATAGGAAATAGCAAGAGTGATTACAATAGTTCCTATTGCATTACATGCATAGGAACTAAAAAAGTGTGCAACCCTTAATAGTGGTGTCCCCTGAATAGGGCTATTAATATTTTAATGTCCATTCTAGTTATTAACAAGGAAAGCATTCTAGTTTGATAATTAAGTTTATTGTTCAAAAGGTGTAACAATATAAATTTCAATCATTTTAAGAGTACTGTAATTATATAGGCGTTAATATATATAAAATCACTTTATTGCATAAAAAACAATACAGGAAACAAATAAAGAGCCCAGAACAGTGTCCCAAAACTGGGAGCACGCAAGGCTAAATGAGTTGACATACAAAAACATTAAGACACAAAATATACCAATATATAAAAGTATAAAAATAGAGGCCGGCCTATCATCAAATTAAGGGAGACTGCATTCAATTAAATTGTCAGTTCAAAAAGAGGCGGATTAACACAAGAGGGTTGATCTTTGGCATAGTATATAGTAAAAGAGGAAACAATTGTAATTTTGGAGATATCGTCTCGAAGTTGTTTAAATAAAATTGAATTATTGCACAATTTGTGGATTTTCTTTAAACGTTTAATATTATCAGGGGAAATGTATCCTCTGGAGCCTACTTCGAAACAGACGAGTTCAACCTCGAAGCCAGCATCTATAATATCAGAAATTAGTGGTGCATATTTGTTACATTTTCTGGAGTGGGCGGCATCGATGCCAGTTTCGAAAGGGACCGTAAGTTCAAAAATGAGGAGCTTCTTTAAGTTTTTCCAATAAATGCATAAATCTGGTATTAAGTTAGTTGGTAAGCATTCAGGGGGGATGGTAGTATAGTGAAAATGCTGGGTGCTGGCTCCGAGGTCGGATAGGACTTCAGGGATACAAGTAGCGTTACAAAAACCTTTCTTAAGAGTCTTAACAATATGATTGAGGATGTTATTGTGCCTCCATGTAAGGCGCCCCTGGTCCAGGGACCTTTGACAAAAATTAAGAACGTGATTAAGAGTTTCCCGGTTACCACATGAACTGCATTTTACAGAGTTGGATTTTCTCCATCTATGTAGATTAACCCTGGTGTTGAGTGAGTCTCCAAGAGCATTGACCAAAAATTTAAGGACCCCCCTGGACCAGGAGCCCCCTAACATGGAGGTCCCAAAAATTTTGTATTTCCTCTCTAAGGTTCTTTTTTGCGATATTTTTTATCTGATTAAGATTAAGGTTGGGGTCAGAGTTCTGGATGTCTTTCAGTCTAGATTCACAGTCAGTGGCATTTGATATTTTCCTTGTCCAGTTAATCTCACGCTCAAGACGAGTATTAAGACAGTGGTTAACAGTATCACCTCCTTTAAACCTAGATGAAATATGAGCCACCAAGTGGCATTCCTTATATAGATCAGATACTCGGGGAATGTTGATTCCTTTGGGCATATGAATAAATGATAACGTCCCAGGATGGGGTAGCCCAAACCACTTCTTTAAATATCTGTTACAGAGAGCATCGATCTTAGCTAAATGAGAAGCACAAATGTCATTGACTGTAATATGATATTTTAAACTGGGAAGAAAATATTGCGAGTAAACTCTGATCTTGAACTCGGATCTGATTAAAGAATTGTCTATCTTATTAATGTTTTTCTCGATTAACGTATATAGGTACTGAAAAACATCCAGATCTGTGTTATTAAAGGTGATAATAGAGCCCAAAAATTTGTGTGAATCATTCTCAATTGTTGGAATAATATCAGCGCCCAGAGTGTAGTTAATTTTAGAAGCTCTCCCACGGACAATGGAGAGGGATCGACATTTTTTAGGCTTAAGCTTTAAACCCATTGATTTGATTAGTGTGATAATTTTGGAAATAAGTCTTTGATGTGTTCTTTTATTGCCAGTAATAAGGCAGAAGTCATCTGCAAATGGCGTGGATATAATCTTGGTCCCTTCCAAATTATAACCGTGGGAAAGCTCCTGTTCTAAGAATTGCAAGATTGGTTCAAAGCAAAGAATAAATATGATGGGAGATAAAGGGTCTCCTTGAAAGATACCTTTCCTGAATCTAAATTCATTAGGTGACCAATGCTTAGTAGTAACCTTACCACTTAAGCAGGAGTAGAGGTTAGTAATATAGGTCTTAATATTTGGATCAATATTACACCTCTCTAGAGTGAATTCAATTAAAGAATGGGAAACAGAGCCGAAAGCGTCTTCAAGGTCGAAGAAGATAATATGAGCAGTACGTGATTTAAATTTAGCATGGTGAATTATTTCATGCAAAACTTGATTATGTTCTACACATCCATTTACACCTTTCAAAAAAGCCTTCTGTATTTCGGTATTAACAAGAGAGTTCTTAGTTACAAATTCTTCGATGCGATTGGCCAGTATGAGATGAAATATTTTACTCGTAGAGGAAGAGAGCGCGATCATTCTGAAATTAGAAGGCGTATCTGTGTTTCCTGACTTGTGAAGAAAAATAATGTTGCTGTCTGTCCATGACGATACTGGGACTCCAGAGGCCAAAATCTATTTGTATAATGTAGCTAAAAAAGAATGGGTACATGTGAGTTTCTTTAAAATTCCGTAATGGATGCCATCAGGTCCAGGAGCAGAATTTGCACTCTTACGCTTCAACACATTCCTAATATCACGGGGACGAATGTCGTCGATATTGAAAGGAGTCATCTCGGATGGCGGAATACGTAACTGGAATCCATTTTAACTCATCAATGTTGATGGTGCTAGGTGTTCCATACTTCTGATTAAAGAATAAATCTGCCGTTTCTTTTGTAAATGAAGGAAAGTTCTTTGTTGCATATAGTGAGTCGTTACGTAATTGTTTGCTATATCTCCAAAAATTTGAATGATAAAGTTTTTCTTCGTGTTTTGTACTACGTTGTTTTTCATTATTCCTGTTGATTTTATTTAGATAGTCGTAGGCTCTAAGAGCTTAAAAAAAACTCGATTTTCTTTTCTTGTACTGCATCTTTTCTAAAAGCTTGTTTCCTTAATTTATTCTTTAGTTTGCGTGCCTCAATTAGGGTTTTTGGTTTGCGACGAATGCTGTTGTGAGGAAAGATATGAAAGCATACGTTTCCGCTTACGTTTCGTATGAAAAGTGGACTTGGAGTCAACTTTTTAAAAGAATCATTCAACAGAAACTCGGTTTTCGAATGTACAGTATATTGTTTTATTATTTATTTATATCATTATTATTATTATTATAATTATTATTATTATTATTATTATTATTATTGTATTTTATTGTTCTTATTGTAGTTATTAATGTTATTAATCTTTTTATTATTCTTATTGATATTATCATCATGTTGAGAATGGAACTCTAGAGGGACACTAAAAAGTATGTGCGTATTAATTAAATTATTAAATTATTATTTAAAAGGGAAACATGTCATAATGTTGGACCCTGGGAGATAAGGGCGTAAATTTTTGTCTAAGTCTCGATTAAGAGCAGACGTCTCTAGGGAGGCCTAAGTTAAGGGCCTTAGATAAGTAAAGCCGAGTTGGACAAGGTCCATGAAGACTGGCTAATGTTGAATGCAGGCAGAGCACATTCTCGGCTGCATCAACAACAAATTGATTACCCAAATGCTTTGTTGACATGCGTAATTTTTTTATGTAAAAATAAATAGTAAAACAATATCATGCAAGAACCATTCTCCTTGCTTATATTTATAAAAAAGTCAAAGTCATTTCAGATGACCAAATCTATCAACCGTAGTTTTGGAATTGTTTCTGATGCTATCACTGCCCTCCTGCTCCGGTTCCCCCCTCAAATGTCAGTTCCGTTTAATTGTTCCCCCCTCAAATGTCAGTTCCGTTTAATTACTGTATCTTGAAAATAATACGGAAATCAATTTTGTATTGTAAATTTTACTGTATTGTGAAAATTTGTGAAGCTCATCAGTTTAATTGAAGTTATTCATTTCCTTTCAGAAGTGTTAAACACCAAGAAAGATGAATGAATCAGGTAAAATATAAACAAAAATTGTTGACAATTATAAACCTACACAGTAATATATGGCTATTATATTCCTGTAGTACCTTCCACTATTACTCATGGGGAAAGTGTAGAATTCAACACAATGTGTAACCTCCTTCCTCCCTGGGGAGCATCTGTCTCTTATACACATCTTCAAAAGCAGGAACGACAGAAGCACTACTCTGATCGTCATTCCCAGGTCAGGGAGTTTAATGTAAATGATGAGGTATTTGTAGAAAATTATGCCAAGGGGGACCGTTGGCTTCCCGGGGTAGTGCATCTGAGAGAGGGTAGTAAAATGTATGATGTGAAGATTGATGACGGTAGAATCATGCAACGACATGTAGACCAAATGAGAAGGCGTTCATCCGGGGGGAAAGATGATAATCAGCATCAAAATGATAATTCCATGGTTAATGATGATGAAAATGTTATTCCAACTTGTAAAAATGATAATTCTATGGTCAGTGTTAATGATGATGTTGTATCAACTCGTCAAAGTAATGAGTCCATTGTTAATGTTCAGGAAAGCATTAGCGAGGATGTTGTAGTAATGGGCCACAATAATAATGAGAACTCCAATGTTGTTCGTAGATCCAAGCGTAATAGGAAAGCCCCTAAGACTTGGGTATGATTAATCAGCATCGTTGTACCCGTTGGTACTTGCTGACCGTGATTTTGTTCATGTTCCAAGTTTATAACTATATGACAAATATTCACTATAGGTTGCAATGCTTAAACGGTGGGGTGTGATATTCATAAACTGTTTACTATTACATGAACTGGTAACCATAATAACCATACCCTGGATAGTAGCGCCCGCGTAGTATCAAGGTGCGTCGTGCCACACTACATTTGTATTACCGCTTGAGGCGGGATTTACTCTGTGTTATGTATTGAAATAAAGTAGACGTGTTGAAGTTTACTCCCAGAGTCATTCTACTTTTTAATAGTCATCGAAGCTATTACAGTATTAATAATAGAACATCAGAATATGATTATTTAAAAAAAATAATTTTAATGTTTTGCTACTCAAACTGAAGTTTATAAAAACATGTTGCATATCAAAACAGCCGATATAATATTAAAATATTCGCCACTTAAGGAGGACGCTAAAATAGAGGGAATTAGCGATGATTGTTTACAGGTGGTCATAGTGTTGCAAAAACCAATTACCAATAATAAATTCAATGCTCACACTGATCCATTATTTTAAAATCTCAACCTATTGAAAGTTGATGATATTCACAAACTTCAAACCTTCTATTATCATAATTTAAAAAAATAATCAGTTACCAATTTATTTAAGAAGTATGACACCTGTGCCCTTTTCCGAAATACATAGCTACTACTACACTCGAGGTAGAGATCAAATACCGAAAGTTAATCATGTTTTTGTAACACTGTGTCTAGATAGATAAGATAAGACTCATTGAAACTACTTCGAATACAATGAATATTATTATATTGATAACTGTTATGTATGTAATGATAATTAGTAATGGTTATAATAATTATAGTACATATTCCATTTTATTATTATTATTTTTATTCATTTAATTTCTTTTATGACAAAATAAACGTCGAAAGCGATTTTCTGTCAAATTTCTTATTTCTTTGCTGAAACGGCGCAATCGTAATAAAATCTGACTTCTAACGTCGACAGGAAGCCTAGCACCGAATAATAGGCCTACAATGGTCGATTCCTTGTACATAAATTAATAATTGGATTTCCTAGACGACAAAAGTGCCATATTAGTATTGGCATACAATTTTTAAAAATCTCTAAAGTTATTTTTTTTTTAAATAAATTTTGGGGGTAAAAAAATGAATTTTTGGGAAAGAATATGGTTTTTAATATTTTGGAATTATTGACTATTGTACAAACAGATTTAGAATCTATATGGCCATTCTCTTTATTTCACAAATATGCAGATAAGAATGGAATACTTTTATCAACATGCTTTTCAAGAAAATCTCTGGAACGTAAAAAAACCCCAATTTTTTTACACTTGTTTGGGCTAAAGACATGATTTTTTGGTAAAAAATAGAGGTTTGTTGACATTTAAACTATAACTGATATGCTTTGCGTGAGAAAATAGGTGCCGCAAAAATGATTATTATTATTAAAAAATGTTGGAGCCGTATTAGTCAATAGCGTGAAAAACAAATGAAATAAGTACGGTAGCACATTTCTAACGAAATTTATTGAGACTCAATCTTTGACTAGTTTAAGCTAGCTTCATCAGGTAAATTTCTTTGCCACTGCTAGACTACATCTACATCTTTCGATTCAACACACGCGATGAACAAACGTCACAATACTTTCACAAGTACCACCTTTATATCTGATGTCTTTCTCCATTAGTTTCCAAAAGCCTTCTTTTTCTAGTTGCTGCATGTCACGTTCTAGCTTTCCATTGTTGTAATTTGGCTCGAGGTCCAACCACATGGCCCGCATTGTAATCACTATAAATCCACCTTATTTTGTTAAAATATAGAACAAAATTAAATAACTAAACAAGAAACGATTAAAATTATGTTATTAAATTAGAAAGGTGATCACGTGAAATATCAATGGCAGTATCAACAGCTTGCGATTCGTTATTATGTTATTATTCTCGTTACATTAAATGTACTAAATAGCCAGGCTCCGGAAGAAGAAACGTTTTGATATTGTACAACTGATTTATATAGTACACAAAAATGGTGTATGACGAAAGACTCGGGAACGCTTTAAGACTACTTAGTTACATTATTATATATTATTATAATTGGAATTCCTGTCTTTCCGGTTTCATACCTAAGGTGAGGGCGTGATTTGATTGATATTTTTTTTGCGTGTGTTGGGGAGGTATTATGAGAGTATGTAAGTTCTTTTTCCGCGGAAGCCAGTAAAAATTGTTGCCTCTTATAACCTTCAAAGTATATTTTCCATGTAATCATGATAATAGTAAGTAGTCGCTCTACCTGGTTTAACTACACGAACAAATTCATTAAAACTGTCACTCTTCAAACCATTGCCGAAAAAGCCTCCCGCACAGACGATGACGTCGTATGTATCTGAAAAAAAAAAAACAAAAAAAAAAAAACAGTACAAATAATATAAATAACATTTGCAACAGAAATATGTCGTGTACGTATACAATTTGTTGAACAAAATCAACATGGTCGTATCCTGTTTTGCCAAGGTACGGGGGAGGGGCGTGCGAGGTGTGCAAATAGGGTATTTGTGGTGGCATAGAATCTCTGGACGGGTGAATGGGACAGAGCCGTAGAATAGATTTTGCAGGGGTTCAGAAGCCTTTAAAATACATTTCAGCCTCGTAATCTATGAAAGTACAACTGTTGGACTACATGTACCTGAAAATAACATTTTATATTGTGCAGTACGCGGAGTGGTGGTGCGGTACTCCCACCGCACACCTGTATGGGCCTGACTTCAGTGAACGTATGACCTCACATTGATTATGAAGTCATAAAATGTTATGCGTAAGCTCAAAGATTTTTGTCCTATCATCGACAGCCGTTTCAGCATGGGTAATTGATTGTTAGGACACAGTATAATCTCCATTTTCTTACCCCCGCTTCTGTGTCAGGGGTTGCGCCAGGATTTGCCCGACGGGAGGGTCCGAGATGAAAGTGGTACGGGGGGGGGAGAAGCCCCCGAAAATTTTGTCAATTTAGGGGTTTCAAAGGCTTATTTAATCTATTTTATAGTCTACTAATACATAGAATATACATATGATATTTTTTCTCCCCGACCGAGGTTGGGGGAGGGGAAAGAAGCCTTCCCCAACCCCCGTTGGCGCCACCCCTGCTGCCTGTCTGTCTGTGTGTGTGTCATTGTGTGTATTTTCCTGTGGTGTGTTTGTCTTTGCTGGAAGTCGTGGTGTGTGTGCTTTAGCTAAACTTAAAACCAGAACAAATCTCCTCACATACAACGAAAAGCCTAATAGCAACTGCATACCACTTATATTAGACTATAACCCTCTCACCAAACCATTTACAGATGCCATTAAAACTGATTACAAAATACTCAAATCAGACCCATCCATCGCCCACCTTTATGACAAACCACCCATAATCGCGCGCAGACAACCCCCCCAATCTTAAATCGCTCATAACATCATCTAAACTACCAACTGACCACCTCTCCACAAACACAGGTAACAAACCATGCAAAGACATTAGATGTCAATTATGTAACATAATCACTACAGGACATAGATTCAAAATACCAGGATCCACGGAAATCGTACACCCCCCCCAACCTAGACTGCCATGCTTCTAACGTTATTTATCTCATCTATTGTATTAAGTGTAACCATGGAAACTACATAGGTGAAACGGGTACCAAAATCAGGGCGAGACTTAATAATCACAAATGAACTCTATCGTTATAATTCGTAGCAATGTTGTCTGACTATCGCTTTACTGCCTTCGCAATACATCTTAACGGCGTCTTGAAAAAACGTAAAAATAATTCGATTGAACTAAGTTTTTGAGATAAATCACTTAATGGTAGGACACGATTAGAACTTTTGAAAATCATGATCTATCGTAGCAAAAATCATGAATGTGTGAAGGGGGAATAAGAGCTCAATCACCAAGCACACAGTCTTGTTTGCATAAAAGCTATACAAATCCTGTCTCTTATACACATCTAGATGTGTATAAGAGACAGATATTGCACCTTCCCTTGCGGTTATGAAGCGAAAACCAATTAAGTCTCAATTATTAGGAAAACAGCGGCAGGTATAAAACTGGTCACCATTCAGGGACTAAATAGTACAGTCTCAAACACAAATTATACAGATTAAAACAATTAAAAAAAGGAAAAAGCAGAAGAAAGTGACAGTAAAGTCTTAAGTGCACGTTTAAAAAGATTAGGATCTTAAATATTTCGAAGGTCAGTTGGAAGATTATAGGTATAGTGGTATAGTGAAATGTACAGACGATGAGAAACGTGTTGTACGTGCAGGGATACGTTGGTCAAGAAAACCACATAAATAGTTTGAAGAAAAACCATGAATACATTTGTATACGGTGAGAATAATTTTGAAAATAATTCTGTTATTAAATCCAGCCAATGGAGACCATTGATCATTGATGAGAGGAGCAGAGTGTGTACGAGGACCACATGAAAAGACTAAGCGAGCAACCGAGTTTTGCAATTTCTGCAGCCTATCAATATCTTTCTTGAAAAGACCACCATATAGAGCGAGTTGTAGTAGTCAATTCTTGATAGTACGAGGGCTCTAATTGCTGAATTTTCTTCGAGTCCTCCACAAGTTACACAAGTGGTAACGCACACTACTACATACTTTACTAACCTGGGAACATAAATCTAGTGTGGATTCAAATGTAACACCCAACTTACGAGCACTCTTAGAGGCCTTTACGAGGGATCCATTAACATTGAGTTGGATATTCCTAACTAAAGGTAATGACTGTTGACGTCTAGAAATACAAACTAGAAGTTCAGTTTTATCTTCATTAAGCTTTAATTTATTCAATATCATCCACTGTTTAATGTCAGAGATGCAACTAGTTAGCCGACAAAAAGACTCCTCAATACTAAAAGGATTCGAAGGATTAAAGTGCAGGTAAAATTGAAGGTCATCAGCATAGAAATGAAAGTTAACATCATACTGCCTGATAATATTACCTAGTAAGCTAATTATGAAGGTATAATGTAAAAAAGCAGAACCCTTTGGCACACCATACTTAAGTCTTCGAAAAGATGACTGGTCAATGAAGTCAAAAGCTGCTGACAAATCAAAAAGTACAAGGATCATTCCAAGTTTCTCATCGAGAGCATGGGACAAATCAGTGTACACTTCAAGAAAACCTATGGTATTTTCTATATGGAAATTGGAAATCTTCACGAAGAACAAAGTCATCAAGATAGAGGGAAAGTTGATTTTAAACAACACGCTCAATGAGTTTACAACAAAATATGAGATTTGAAACAGGCCTGTAATTGGATTTGTCTATGTACAAGATGTGTCAAGATAGATATTCATATTGTGTTAACAACTCAAATTACCAAAATTTAAGTTGAAATGTAATTATTAGGATATTAAGAATGCCTGTTTAAAACTATATTTAGGTTTCGTACACGTAATTTACCATCATCAAAGCTAAGTCTCTTTCCTCCTCCAATCCACTGTACATATAAATTCTCATAGATGTTTTTTGCTCGGGCAATCTCTATCATTTCCGTACTACAGTCAACTGCATCAATTGTCTCATAGCCAAGTGTCTTCAACTGTTTGGAAAACAGAATATAATCTTATATAAATATATATATATATATATATATAATTACTTTAATTACGACTGGTACTCTACTAGGAAGAGTACAACTATACGTACCCATAAACAAGAACGCTTTATGATTCAAATAATAATCTATAAACAGTCAAGCTAAATTTGCCTTTTAAACATTAATATTTTAAGGATTTTATATTCTTCGCTATTATTTTCATGTTATTCGTTTTTTTTTTAAATTGTTATATCAGGCCTGTCTAATATTTAAAAACTTAATATTACGATTATGCATACAATAAAATCCAATCAGAATTAGAAATTCTTTTAGGACTGGTATACCAATAGCCATTTTTAAAAAGTTAAATATATTTTGAATCTCACCTGTTCACCAACAAGACCTGTTCCACTTGCAACGTCTGAAATACGTGCCGTCTTAGATGATACAAACTTCTGTAGAACTTCTGCAGCAACCACGTGACCAACATACTTCAATTTTTCTAACTAATAAAGCAATCAAATGATAACGCTATGATTAAAGAAATTACAGTATTGTATTCTCTTATTTATTGTTTTTCAAATATTTACTGAGTTGAGGGGCATTGTACAAATTATAGCCCGAGGTAATCTGGCGGCTGTACTTTGTCCGGCAATCACAGTGTGGTTTACCCAGCAACAAGCAAAAGAAAATAAAAGACAGCTAAACAAAGGGCAGAATGAACTCCTCGGAGCCAACGGCCAAACATGCTTTAGTGTAAGAATAGGTTTAGTCTTAAAGGGCCACATCTTTTTTTTTTATATATTCCCATTACCAAAATATCCAACTCTAATGCTCCTTTCAACCATTCGCGATTTTTGTTACGATTGAGCAAGATTTATTTAATTTTTGAAAATCCCAGTGGTGTCGTACTCACTATAGCGCATCGTGGATCTTGATGCCATCGTGATAGAGCACGATTTTTGAAATTTAAAAAACAAATAATGCTCAATTGTAGCTGTGGACAAATATTGGTGTACTGCAGTAATGTTGCCGTTTGTCGTGACGGGTCTTGTGCATTCATACTCATTCTTAGTGGCCAGAACACCTAGCGCAGTAGCTTGCATATATGTTGCAAGTTTTTGAACTTGGTGAATTGCCAAATACTATGGCGTCAACGACAACATTCAAATAGGCGTAAATTGTGCCTCTATTGTCATGTGATTAGCTAAATCAAACAGGCGTCTTCATAGTACGTCATGACAAATCGTAACAATTGTCGTAACTCTATCGTTATAATTCGTAGCAATGTTGTCTGACTATCGCTTTACTGCCTTCGCAATACATCTTAACGGCGTCTTGAAAAAACGTAAAAATAATTCGATTGAACTAAGTTTTTGAGATAAATCACTTAATGGTAGGACACGATTAGAACTTTTGAAAATCATGATCTATCGTAGCAAAAATCATGAATGTGTGAAGGGGGAATAAGAGCTCAATCACCAAGCACACAGTCTTGTTTGCATAAAAGCTATACAAATCCAACTATTAACCAGTGCGCACTGGGCGCGGTATTATTTTCCCCCATTCACTTAAGGCAGAAATTACAGAGGGCGCTATTTTAGGTCAGTTCGGTAAAGTGATATTCATGAATATGCATACCAAACCTCCACCTCGCGAAACAGAGTTCAGTGTGTATTGAGTAAGCTACCTTATGCGTGGATGGAAACTATGGAGTAGGCCATTATCTATTATATAGGCCTTGGTAGTTAAGACAATGCGAAAATTTATGGTCTATAATTGTAATAATATCCCAAATGTACTAAGTATTCGGTACATTTCCACGTCAGGTAGGGCAAAATTACACCTATACATGTTTCTCCTGACGCAAATCCAGTTATTGTCTATTATTCCATCACGACAATAACAATTACAATCAACACTGCAGTACCCGCTGCTTACTTGGACTCGAATTCAACCCTGGCCATCAGGCGTAAGCTCGGTGGTCTAGAGGTATGATGCCAGGCTAGTGATCTGGAGATCGTGGGTTCGAGTCCCACCTGAGAACAACTTGCAATTTCTTTTCGCAGTTGTTTTCAAATGTACTGAGTATTCAGTACATTTCCACATCAGGTAGGGCAAAATTACACCTATACATGTTTCTCCTGACGCAAATCCAGTTATTGTCTATTATTCCATCACGACAATAACAATTACTATCAACACTGCAGTACCCGCTGCTTACTTGGACTCGAATTCAACCCTGGCCATCAGGCGCAAGCTCTGTGGTCTAGAGGTATGATGCCAGGCTAGTGATCTGGAGATTGTGGGTTCGAGTCCCCCCCGAGAACAACTTGCGATTTTTTTCTTTTTTTTTACTTTTATTTTGAATATGAACGAAACGTTTGTGGGAAATCAACATTAAAACAATACATAGAACTTCTAAAATAATTCCCTTATATACCGTATGTATGCCATACTGTAGCCTATTTTACATTAGGCATTTTTCGTTTTGACTACGCGGCCAGTCTACTAC